TCCTCCTCCTCCGCTGCGTCCTCTTTCTCCGCTCCATCCCCGCTCCTCCCCCTCCCTTCTTCCTTGTCGTACCCGACGACTTCTCCTTCTCCCGCTATCCCCGTCCCTCTTCCGCCCTCCCTCATAGCGCCTCCCTCCCCCTGCTTCCTCCTCCATTTCTTTCATCCTTCTACATCCTCTTCTCATTCCTCACCCCAGTGTGTGGATGCGGGGAAGGAAGGGGGAAGTGTAGGTTAGGGGAGGGGAGGAGAATAAAGCAGAGGAGAGCAGAGGAGAGCGGTGGAGCGGCGGCATGCGGATGCTTGCGATGGGTTCTGGGAGGTGTGGGACGCTTCTTCCCCCTCCTTCTCCTCCTCCTCTTCCTCCTCCTCCTCCTCCTCCTCGTCGTGCCCTTCGGCCCTCCCACCTCCTGCGACCACCTGCATGTCCTGCCGCATCCCTCCCTCCCCGAGCTCCCCTCGCTCCCGCGAGCCCTCCCTCCCGCGAGCCCTCCATCCTTCCAACATCCCTCCCTCCCTCCCGCGAGCCCTCCCTCCCTCCTCCCCTCCTCCGAGCTCCTCCCCACCTTCCCCCATCCCCCTTCCTGATCCCTACCTCCTCTCCCTCATCCTTTACCATCTCATTCCCTCCCTCCCTCCTGCTCCTCCCTCAACCTTCTCGTCGCTCTTCCCTCTGCCTCCCTAAGAATAAGAGGAGAAGGGAGGAGGGCGAAGAGGCGAGCGGAGAGCGGAGCAGGCAGAAGCAGGGAAGCAGGAGGCAGGAGTAGAGAAAGCGGGGAGGAGGAGGAGGAGGAGGAGGAGGAGGAGGAGGAGGAGGAGGAGGAGGAGAAGAAAGAGGAGAAGAAACAGGAGGAGGGAGAGGAGGAGGAGGAGGAGGAACTGGGGTCCCAAACCTCCCAGAATCCATCCAAAGCATCCGAATGCCGCCGCTCCACCGCTCTCCTCTGCTCTCCTCTGCTTTATTATCCTCCCCTCCCCTACCCTACACTTCCCCCATTCCTTCCCCGCATCCACACACAAGCATAATGAGCCTCCCCCACCTCCTTTCCTCTTCTCCTCCCTCTTCCTTCTGCCCTCCCTCCCAAGCTGATATAAGCTGAGAAAGCGAATTCCGAACCCCCTTCAGAGCAACATCGTTGCCCGTTTTCTGACCCGAGCCTCGCCATGGCCACGAGAAGGGCTCCCGAAGGCCTAGAAGAAGAGGAAGAGCATGAGGAGACGGCAAGGGATTCGTAAGGAAGCCGAGGAGGAGGAGGAGGAGGAGGAGGAAAAGGAGAAGAAAAAGGACAAATCCGCCGGCCCCCTTGCGGGGCCACCAGGAGCTTCGCAGTTTCCTGTACCAGTTGCAACTTCCAGTTTCCACTGTTACAGTTCTGCTTCTTGCTGCTTACTGTTCCTTGTTGACTTCTTGCTGCTTACTGTTCCTTGTTGATGGACCGCGCGAGGGAGGGAGGCCCAAAACGGGCATTTTCACCGCGCCCTGAGCGTGTGCTCTGAATTGCTGGGGTGGGTAACAATTTACACCCCTCACGCGGATCGGCGGGATCAGGGTCCAAAAACACCAGGGATTCGTCACATTTCTGACATTCGGCAACACCCTTCACGCAGATCGGCGGGGTCAGGTTGAAAAACACACGGGATGTGCAACATTTCTGACATTCGGTGGCACCCCTCACGCAGGTCGACGGGGTCAGGGTCCAAAAACACATGGGATTTGCTACATTTCTGACATTCAGTGGCACCCCTCACGCAGATCGGCGGGATCAGGTTGCAAAAACATAGGGGATTTGCCCCATGTCTGAAATTCAGCGGCACCCCTCACGGAGATCGGCGGGGTCAGGGTCCAAAAACATTGGATTTGCTACATTTCTGACATTCGGTGGCACCCCTCACGCAGATCGGCGGGGTCAGGTTGCAAAAACACATAAAGGATTTATAACATTTCTGAAATTCGGCTGCACCCCTCACGCAGATCGGCAGGGTCAGGGTCCAAAAACACATGGGATTTGCCACATTTCTGAAATTTGCTGGCACCCCTCAAGCAGATCCCTAGGGCCAGGGTCCAAAAACACCGGGGAGTTGCCACATTTCTGAAATCCAGCGGCACCCCTCACGCAGATCCCTAGGGTCGGGGGGCCGAAGAACAGACATGCCCCGACACCTGCCTCCCGGCGGCGCCCCTTCGCCCCTGCCAATAAAGTCAAACGTGGTCGTTGTTGGCTTCTAGACAGAGGTTAGCAGAACGAACTGCCCAAACCATCTCCGCCCAGGGGGCTGTTGGGACTCCACCAGTTGCGACCAGTGTTCAAGAATCCCCGCTGTGGGCAAGCGGCGATGATTCAATGCGGAACGATCCACGGCGGCGCCCCGACCTCACGCTTTAGCTCCTGCCTCGCCCCTTCTCCGAGCCCAGGGGGCGCCGAGACGGCACGAGGCGAAGCCCTTTACGGATGTCCCTCCCCACGCGACGACGACGGCGACGACGACGACGAAAGGACGACGACGACGAAAGGACGACGACGACGAAAGGACGACGACGACGACGACGACGACGACGACGACGACGAAAGGACGACGACGACGAAAGGACGACGACGACGAGCCAGGGGGGCCCCGACGGCACGAGGCGAGGCCCTGGCGGATCTCCCCTCCCCTCGCTCCCTCGCTCTCGCTGCCCGGTCTTCTCCCCCCGGCCCTGGGCCAGCGAAAATTGACCTCCGTGGACCTCTCAAGGGCTACATTGCTGGCAGACGTGTTTCTCTGGATGGGATTTTGACGACACCCGGAACCTCGAACCTCGACACAAATATAGACCAAATGCTCGAACCTCGACCATGCATGGTATAGACCAAATGCCGAAGCACGGTATAGACCAAATGCTCGAACCTCGACACGTCCCCTCGTCCCCTCTCCTCAGGGGGTCAACAAATCGGCCGACCCTGTCGGCGTGTGCGAGACGCTGTTTCGTTTGACTCGTCGTCGTCGTCGCCGCCGCCGCCGCCGCCGCCACCGTCGCCGCTCCCCCCCCATGTCCATGGGTCCTCATCAAGCGCTCCAGCCAGAGCGAAATTGAGCAACGTCGTAGTTGAGTCGAAGGGAAGCCCCTTCCCTTTGATCCATTTCCCGCAAGTGGGGGCGGTCTCGGGGTGTGTGTTGACGGGGGTGTTGAGGGGGGGTCCTGGGTCAGGATACCATCCCCCCAGGGAGGTCCCGCAGCCCAAGAATTCTTCAAGACGGGTCCAAAGTGCCCCTAGATGCCCCCAAAACGGTCCAAGAGAGCCCCGATTCGCCGAACGACCAGTCCAAGCCGCCCAATAGCGTCCAGACAGCCCAAGAGGCCTCCACGACACCTCAAGAGGCCTCCAAGAGCACTCCCAAGGGGTCCCCAAGAGGTGTTTGACAGATGTTGGCGCTCTCGCCTTTTCCCAAGAGGCCCCCAAGATCGCCCCAAGACTGCCCAAGAGGCCTCCAAGAGAGCCCCCAAACAACAACCCAAGATAGTCCCAAGTCGACCCAAGAAGCCTCCAAAACAGCCCAAGAGGCCGCTAAGACGGCTCCAAGAGGGCGCCCGAGGACCCGAACGGGCATTTGGAGCCCTCGGCCCCGAGAGGCCCCCAGGAGGTCTCAAGAAGACCTCAAGAGGCCCCGAAACGTGTGAGGGGTGTGCCGGAATGATTGGTGCGGACGCATGCGAATCCTAATAATGGGGCCTGCGGTCAAGCTGCTTGTAGGACCACGGCACGTGTGAGAGGTGTGGCGAAAGTGGTGCTGCGGTGCCGTGCGAGCGCAGCCACTGGAGCCTTCGGTGGAATTCAATATGGGGCCACGAAACGTGTGAGGGGTATGTCGAAATGGGCGCGGTGGTGCCATGCGAGCGCAGCCACTGGAGCCTCAGGTGGAGCTCCCTGTGGGGCCACGAAGCGTGTAAGAGGTATGCCACAATGGGTCGCGCGGACGCATGTAAACCCTGCCACTGGGGCCTCCAGGGGAGCTCCCTATGGGGCAACGAGACGTCTGAGGCGTGTGCCGAAATGGGTCGCGCGGACGCGTGTAAACTCTGCCGCTGGGGCCTTCGGTAGAACTTCCCTGCAGAGCCACGAAACGTGTGAGGGTTGTGTCAAAATGGATGGCGAGGACAAATGCGAACCCTGCCACTGGGCCCTCCGGTGGAGCTCCCTACGGGGCCACGATTCGTGCCGAAATCGCGGACGCACGTAAACCCCGCCACAGGGGCCTTCGGTGGAGTTCCCGATGGGGCCACGAAACGTGTGATGGGTGTGCCGAAATTGGTGGCGCGGACGCATGCGAATGCAGCCACTGGGACCTTCGGTGGAGCTCGCGCGGACGCATGCGAAGCTTGCCACTGGGGCCTTCGTTGGAGCTCCCTATGGGGTCACGAAGCGTGTAAGGGGGTGTGCCGAAATGGGTGGCGCGGACGCATGCGAACCCGACCACTGGGCCCTCCGGTGGAGCTCCCTGCGGGGCCACGATTCGTGTGAGGGGTGTGCCAAAATGGGTCGCGCGAGTGTAACCCTGCCACTGGGGCCTCTGAGGGATGTGCCGACATGTGCCGCGCGGACGCACTAACAGCCTGCCACGCGTCGCGGGGACGCATGGAAACCCTGCCACTGGTGCCTTCGGCGGAGCTCCCAATGGGGCCACCAAACGTGGGAGGCGTGTGCCGACGTGGGCCGGTTGGGCGCATGTATACCCTGCCACTGGGGTCTTCGGTGGAGCTCCCTGTGGGGCCACGAAGCGCGTGAGGGGTGTGCCGAAATGGGTCACGCGGACGCGCGTAAACCCTGCCACTGGCGCCTTCAGTGGAGCTTCCGATAGGACCACGAAACGTCTGAGGGATGTGCCGAAATGGTTCACTGGCGCGGAGGGCAGAGGCAGGGATGGGAGGAGGGAGGAGGGAGGAGGAGGAGGAGGAGGAGGAGGAGGAGGAGGAGGAGGAGGAGGAGGAGGAGGAGGAGGAGGGGGAGGAGGAGGACGAGGACGAGGAGGAGGAGGAGGAGGAGGAGGAGGATGAGGAGGAAGAGGAGGAGGAGGAGGAGGAGGGAGGAGGAGGAAGAAGAGGAGGAGGAAGAAGAGGAGGAGAGGAGACGCGGGGCGCTGTCCCTTCGAAACGAAGGCCCCACACCACAGGATGGTTGGGAAGAGCTTCTAGAGGGCCGCCGGGCTTCTGAGAAGCCCCGCAGCCTTCTCAGAAGGCCTGCTTCGGGGATCTACTGACTCTGGTCAATCCAAACCCACCTGCAGAATCCGGCGCTCTGACTGGCCCCCGTTTGCATTGACCCCCGTCTCCTGAGTCCCGGACTGCCCCTTCTCTAGAGGAGCAAAAAACCACACAAACATACACTTCTAGAGGTCCGCGCGGACCTCTTGGATCCGCGCTGGACCCCCCCCCTCCACGGCGCGGGGAGCGCGCCGGGGGCGGCGCCCGAGGCGCCGCTGGGGGGAACTCCGCGCGGAGCGCGCCAATCTTATGCTCATGGCGTCGTCAGAGGGCCTCCCGGACTGGGGTCCGAGCAGCCGAGGTCGGAGGATATTGCACCGCACCGGTGGCGCCTCGGCGAGGCCTCGGTGATCCATCGGCGGTGCATCGGCGATTCGCCGGCGGTGCATCGGCGACGCCGGCGCGGAGGAGGTCGGACTCCACAGCGAGCCGCGTCGCCGAGGCACCGGCGAGGCGGCGGCGTGCCTCCGACCCCGCCTATGCTCGGACCCCCTTCGGGGAGGCCTCGGGGCTTGCCCTCGCTTCGGCCCTCGCTGCCCTCCCGGGCGCGCCGCCAGGCCTTCGGAGGGACTCCTACCCCCAGTCCTACCCTGACCTTCCAGGAGGGCTAAGAAATAACACACGACGTAAAAACCCATCCCGAAGCTATTCTACGTCTTGATTTTAGGCTGTTCCGCTCAGCTTTTTAGGCTTTTAGGTTCCAGTGCTGAACAATGCCTCTCTGGAAGGTCAGGGTAGGAGGCAACTGCTGGGAGGTCTCCGTCGCAAAGATTCAAGAGGACTGAGCCCCATTCGGGGGGCTGCTACGCCGGAGCGGGCCTCGGCTCAAGCCGGACCAGGCGGGACTCGGCGGGAGCGATTCGGATTATAAGCGGGACTATAGGAAGCGGGAGGAAGCCGGAGGATGTCGGACCAGGGCAGAAGCAGCATTTGGCCTCCCGGGAGCTGCCTCCGAGCCCGCCCACCTCCTCCCCCGGGGGGGGGGGGGGGGCGGGGGCGCGCTCGCCCGCCCGCCTCCCGCACCTCCTCGGCGCAGAGCGCGGGGTCCACCCTGCGCCGCGCCCGCTGCGCCAGCAGCTGGAGCTCCTGCGGGGCCGCCGCCCCACGGCGGCGCCGTCGCCGCCCAGGTGGTCGCCAGTCGTCGTCATCGCCGTCGTCGCTGTCGCCGTCGTTGTCAAGCACCATCATCACCATCCTCATCGTCGTCGCCATCATCGTCGTCGTCGCCGTCGTCGGCAGCCATCTCCTCGTCGTGATCGTCGTTACACTCGTACTCAACTTCATCATGATCATCACCCTCACTATCATCATCGTCGTCCTCATCTGCATCCTCGTCATCATAAGCATGATCATCATCATCAGCAACAGCATCATCATCAGCATCATCGTGGCCATCATCATTATCATCATCGTAATATGTATGGTTCTCGCCATCATCGCCACTGTCGTTGCGATTTGCGTCACCACGATCTTTAACTTTATCGGTCTCGTGGTCATCGGTCGCATCATGAATATCGTCGTGGGAATCGTCATCATCACCGCCGTCATCACCGTAATCGGAACCATCGTAATCGCCATCGTCGTCACACTTGTCATCGTCATGGTCCGTGACACCGTCGCCAATCTCATCGTCCTTATCTTCATCTGCACAAATCTCCATGCACATCTTCGTCACCGTCAATGCCATCATGCGCATCGCAAACATTTCTCAGCCGCAACATCAGCCTCACACGTTTCTACGCGCATCACAATCATCATTAGCATCATCATCATCAGCATCATCATCATCACCATCATCGTCATCCTCGTCGTCGTCATTGTCATCGGCATCGTCATCGTCATCACCAGCACAAGCATCCCTATCATCATCGCCATCACCGCTGTCATATACATCGCCATGGGCATCATCGTCATCAACATCGTCATCATCACCATCATCACAATAACCACCACAAGAACCATGGCCATCATCACATCACCATCATCATTATCATACTCATCACCGCTACCAGCAACATGATCATCCATCGTTATCCTCACCAACACCAACACGGTCAACCTTGGGGGCAGAAACGAGGGGATGGACCGCGTGATGACCTGGGAGCCCCAAACGACCTCACCGCGCGGTCCGTCGCCGCACGGTGTTCAGACCTCCGAAGCCACGGTCGCCCGAACCGTCCTCGGAGAACGACCCGAGTCGCAAAACCGTGCGGTGGCCCCGAACTCCCACCGACTCACAACGCGGTGTGGCACCCACACCGTTCGGGAGCCGGCCCCCCGTGTTTTCCGCCATGCTTCGAGCCGGATCGATCTGTGCGGGTCGCGGGGCCCGACACCTGGCGAAGACATTGTGTCGGGCGTGTTCCCCTACAGGGGGATTTTCGACGAAAAATAAAAGATACCCCCAAAATACCCCAAAAAGGTCAAACAATAATCAAAAAATAGTCCCCCGACTATTTTTGGATAATTTTTTGACTATTTTGGGGGTGCTTTTTACTTTTCGTCGAAAATCCCCCTGTAGGGGACAGGCCCTACTTAACGAAGACACCCGGCTCGAGAAAGTCGGGTCGCCAGGATCTCAGGCCCCCCCTGGGATAGGAGCCGGACGGTCAAGATGTGCGTTGAGGACGGGTGGGAAGGGCGCAAGATCCCTGGAGGCGAGGCCGAAGTGGGGATGAGGCGGCGGCTGAGAAAAAAAAACCCAGGGACGCAAGGGAAGCTTGACCCAGGGAGAGGCCAGCGAAAACGGCAAAGGACGGGCCGCAGAGGCAAAGGACACAAGGGTGCCCCAGACGAAGGCGCGCGTCCTTACTAGGCGCACTGGCTGTACAAGCAGCGCCTCCAGGCCGCGGAGGACCGCCCGCGCGATGCGCGGCGGCACCTGCGGGAGGGAGCGCTGCACGAGCGTCTCGGCACCAGGGCGCGGCAGGCGCAACGAGGGCGCGGGCGGCGGCGCTGAGCAGATCGGGAGGTCGTGCGTCCGAGGGGGGGCGTCCAGAACCGGCCTCGAGCTTATCTCTATCTGTAAGACGGGCTTGGGTCGGGCCTGTCCCCCTATACAGGGTGATTTTGGGCGAAAAATATCTTTCTTTTTTTTCAAAACAAAAAAAAAACTTAAAAAAAAAGCATTGCCACCAAAATCATCAAAAATTGTCCGAAAATCGTCCGCAGACTGTTTTCTAACGATTCAGGGCGACGGCACCCCGGGGTGGTATTCAAGCCCAGCCGATCAGCCGATCAGCCGAATAGCCGATCAGCCGATCAGCCGATCAGCCGATCAGCGGCCGAGCAGCCGATCAGCCGATCAGCCGATAAGTCTTATCGGCTGATCGGCTGCTCGGCCGCTGATCGGCTGATCGGCTGATCGGCCGATCGGTAGTTTATCGTCGGCTGATCGGCATCTCGGCTGCTCGGCTTCTCGACCACCTTAATGCACGTCAAATTCCCTCTCTTTCCTCCTCCTCCTCCTCCTCCTCCTCCTCCTCCTCCTTCTCGCCCTTTTTCCTTTTTCTCCTAGTTGTCCTCCTCCTCCTCCTCTCTCCTCCTCCTCTCCTCCTCCTCCTTCTCCTCGCATACCTCGTCATTATGTTCCTTCCCTCTTCCTCCTCCTCCTCCTCCTCCTCCTCCTCCCTCCTCCTCCTCCTCCTCCTCCTCCTCCTCCTCCCTGCCTCCTCTCGCGGGCTGCCGGCGCCACGCGCGAGCTCGGATCCCAGGCCCCATGCCCCGCCGCCAAGACGTCCTCGTTCTCGGACTCTGGTAAACGCTCTCCCCATTACAACGCTACTGTTTCGACCTGCGTCGTCGCCGTCGTCGTCCTTCTCCTCCTCCTCCTCCTCCTCCTCCTCCTCCTCCTCCTCCTCCTCCTCTTCCTCCTTCCACTGCTTCTGGGGGCAACCCTACAAAAACGGCTCCGTACTATCCAACATGTTTCCAAGCATCACGCCCCGTTTGCGCTGAGACCTCAATGCTTGGGACGTTGTGCATTCATAGCAGGCGCGGGCTGGAGGGCCGAACAAGGCTCGACAAGAGCACCCACGCACGAAAGTGTTGAATAAACCATCCCACCAGCTCTCGGGGCGTAGGTGGTTTAACGAACTCTTGTCTTCTCTCGTTCCACAATCCCTCCTTCCCCTGCTCTGGGTGAAGGTTAAAACCTCTCCCCTGGGCCTGGGATGGGGGGGCCGCGAGGTGTCAGAGGGTCCTTTTCCGTCCAAGATGGCTCCAAGAGGGCCCTGGATAGCCCAAGGGGGCCTCCGATATGGCTCAAGAAACTCCGAAATGGGTCAAGACTGCCTCCGACGGACTTGCAAGAGGCCCCAAAGCCGTTCGAAGACGGCCCCATGTTCTCTCGGAACCCCCTCAGGCATCAGGATCCTCCCAAGATGCCAACATCCTTCAAAAGCCTAAAGACAATATATGTTGTTTACCTTCTCGCCTTGTCGCTTCCGATTGCCTTTTTGAGGCCGCAAGACGGCCCGAAGATGGTCCAAGAGAGCTCCGAGAGGGGCCCCACAAGGCTTCAAGACGGCCCCCAAAACGCCGAACAGGCGCCCAGGAGCGCCCCAAGAGCGCCCCAATACGCTATTGTTGAACCTCCGACGGGGGGGATTTGTTTTAGCTACCCGCATCTTGAACTATGGGGCCCAAGACAGCTCCAAGACCTCCCAGACCCCCCCAAAAAGCCCCAATAGGGCACCAAGACGGCCTCAAAAGAGCCCCAAGAGGACCCCGAGAGGACCCCCCAAACATGGCTCCAAGGGACTTCTGAGAACCTGTCACAACAACACCACAATTCGCGTGGGCATCGGTTCTGGATGGGCTGGTGGGGATATGCGAAGCATCAGGAGTTGGTGTTTGAAGGTTTGGGTGGTGACGCACGGTGAAAGCCCATGCAGTTTCAAGTGTTTCCTGCGCGTCGTCCGAGAGTGCCCACCAGCTGGCCCGCCAATTCCAGAAGAACGCGTGCGGATCACAATGACGGCGACGACGACGACAAGGGGAGGCAGTAGCAGGAGAGGGAAACCCGACTCCATCAACGAATTGACGTGGATGGGGGATGATGGGGGATGGCTGTTTACAGGAACGGGTCAAAAAGATGGGGCAGTTTCCAGACGCTGGGCCAGGAGCGAGTCCCGCTCTGCCCACGCGGGCAAGCAGCCCGTGCCGTAGTGGCGATCCGCCACCGTGCCCCTGCACGGAGCGGGCGTGTCCTCAGCTCCCTTGGTTTTCCCCGGAGCCTCAATCCTCGATCCTGAGGCTTGAAAGGGCCCCGATCCCTTAGAAATGATGTTTCGTGGTCGTGTCCCTGTCCTCCTGCGCAGCGTCGCGTTTTGTCGCATGGTTTTGGCAGGCCCCACGGGGCGCCAAGACGGGCCATGGGGACCCCGAGAGGCCCCCGAGACGGTCCAAGATGGCCCCGAGACGCCCAAAGATCGCTCCAAGACGGCTCAAGAGCCCCTCAGGACGCCTCGAAAAGCTTCCGACAGGCGTCCCAAGAGGGCCCTAATAAACAACAATCATTGATGCTCCATCGTTAACAAGCCGATCAGGCGCCAGCCAGCCGATCAACCGATCAGCCGAGCAGCCGATCAGGCGCCAGCCAGCCGATCAGCCGCTCAGCCGATCAGGCGCCAGCCAGCCGATCAGCCGATCAGCCCATCAGGCGCCAGCCAGCCGATCAGCCGATCAGCCTATCAGGCGCCAACCAGCCGATCAGCCGATCAGCCGATCAGTCTTATCGGCTGATCGGCTGATCGGCTGGTCGGTGCCTGATCGGCTGATCGGCTGATCGGCTGGATTGAATAATGACCCCGGGGAGCCGTCGCAATGTGTTTTGAACATTCCTCCTGTAGAGGGACACGCAAGAGTGACCCTGGGCAAGAGTGACCTTCGGTGCGCGGCTTTTCGGGGTCCGCGGGGGGACCAAACGCAAGCGCGCAAGACGCCACTGCCGCCTCGCGCTCGGCGATCGGGGGACCCCATGGGGCCCGCACCAAAGGTCACTCCGGCGAAGGGTCCCTCTTACCTCTGGTCGATCCTGCAGAGGGGCACGCCCGGCTTGAGCCCAGCCCTGACCCTGACCTTCCAGGAGGGCTAAAAAAAAAAGTAGCAGCCGACTCAAAAACCTATCCCAAAGCTGTTCTACGCCTTGGCTCTGGGCTGCGTCGCTCCGCCTTTTAGGCTCTGAGGTCTCCGGTGCTAAACAAATAGCTCTCCGGAAGCTCAGGGGAGGTCCGGGCGGTCTCGCGCTCTCTTCGGGGATGGACAGACCCCCCTTTAGTAAAACGTGGTTTAGTGAAAACGACCTGAGGCCCAAACCTGGCAGGCGCAAGCCTGGGAAATAACGGCCACGGCGCCCTCTCGAGAACCGAAAACGGACAATTCACTAATCGACGTGTCACTGTTGGGGGTTCTGTCCAGCCCCGATCTCTTCGGGCCAGGGCGGTCTCGCCCGGCCTCGCGCCACGGGACCCCCCCGCGCGGGCCGGCCCGGCGCGCGGCACCACGCCGCAGGAGCGGCGACGGGGCCCGCCGCGCCAGGCGTGGGCCGTCGCGGCGTGGGCAGGCCTGTCGGGGCCCTCGGGGCCGTCGGGGCCGTCGGGGGCGTCGTCGGGGGCGTCACGTCGTGGGCCGTCGGGCGTCGTGAGACGTCACGTCGTGGGCCGTCGGGGCGTCGGATCTCGGGCAGAGCGGCGATTGATGGGCCTGTTTTCCACCACCACCACCATAAGTTGGAGGAGGGAAGGGGGAGGAGGAGGACGGAGAGGAGGAGGAGGAGGAGGAGGAGGAGGAGGAGGAGGAGGAGGAGGCGGAGGAGGAGGAGGAGGTGGAGGAGGAGGAGGAGGAGGAGGAGGAGGCGGAGGACGGGCAGAGCGGCGATGGCACTCGCAGGGAGGCGCCGTCGGAGGCCGCGGGGAGCCTCGCGATCGGAAGCGAGACGGGGCGGTGCCGATCACAGGAAGGCAGTCGGCCCGCACCACAGGGCTGCGCGGCGAGGCTGCAAGGGCCCTGGACGCCCGCTTCGACGCTTCTCGAGCGGAGCGCGGCCGGCGGAAGCGGCGAAGGACGGACCGAGGAGGCAAGGCTGCAAAGGGTACCCTTGGGAAAACCGCCCATCCTCACTGTGCGGGCTGACCGTAGCTGGGGCTCCCAAGTCCGCGTGTCGCGCTCCGCTCAGGCAGGTCAGCCGAATAGGCCAAAATCATTGGTTTTCCGTAGGTTTTTGCAGGATTTGGGCCTTTGCTTCTTTTCGCCATTCCGACGGCTCAAGACGGCCCACGAGGCCCCCAAGATCGCCCACGAGGCCTCCAAGATGGCCCCATGACGGCCCAAGAGGCCCCCAAGACGGCCCCAAGAGGGCCCAAGAGGCCTCCAAGACGGCCAAAATGGCCTCCAAGACGGCTAAGATGGCACCAAGATGCCTCCAAGATGGCCTCAAGATGGCCCAAAACGGCCCAAAAGGCTCCCAAGAGGCCTCCAAGACGACCCAAAAGGCGTCCAGGAGGTCTTCCAGGAGGGCACGAAGAGGCCAAAATCATTGATTTCCCAGACAGGTGTTTGACAGATTTTGCATCGCTTCTGGATGGGCTTGTGGAGATACGCGAAGAGTCCGGATTTGTTTAAACCCTACTCCCTCGGCGGCAGAGGCGGCAGCCTTCAGAAAATAGCCTACTGTGCGCGGTCGCGCTTGCGAGATGACATGTATGTCACTACCCCCGACCAATGTCCTCATTGAAAGCTCCCGGGCGAAGGCCAATCGATTGCGTAGGAGTCGTCCCAATGAGAGATGGGGACGCTGTGCTCATAGAAAACTTGCACCATTCGGCAAAACAACGCTTTGTTGTGCCAGCCCCGCGACGAATGGAACCCAGGGGACAGTAGAGGGTATGGCTCGCGACTGCAACTCTCGAGTGGCACACGGATTGCCTCTTCGTGGGCTGGGAGCTTTTCGCCTTGGCAAAGTGTGTGCGCAAAGTCCAGGTCACGACCGTGCAACCAGCTCCTGCCCCGCACCTGCCACGAAGGCGTCACGAAACTGAGCGAAAATCGGCGCACCCCCCCCCCTCCCCCCCCAAAAAAACAACACGGCTCCTGCACCTCGCCGACGTCGCCGCGGTGCATGGCGGCCTCCCGCGGGGGAGACGGGGCGGCGCGCCCCGGCCTCCTCCTGCCGCTGCCGCTGCCGCTGCCGCCCCCCGCTGCACGCCGCTGCCGCCCGCTGCTCCTCTCCCCTGGGCTCGGACTTCAGCCGTGCTGCTCGCTGTCGTGTTGTGTTCGTGCTCCCTCGTTCCGTCTTCGCTCCGCCTCTGCTGCTGCGGAACGGAATCAGAACGAGAACGGCCCCACGACGTCGCCCCACGAGCGAGAACACCCTGCTCCTCCACCCCCCACACGGGGAGGGCTCACCCAGGATCTTACAGCCGCCTCCCTGACGGGGTCCGAGCAGATGAGGTGGGAGTAGATCGGGTCGGATGATCGCTTCGCACCTCTGATGCATCGCCGATGCATCGGAGACGTCGGCGCTGCATCGCCAATGCATCGGCGAGACGTCCAAAATTCTGAGACCCCAGGACGTCCCCTGATTTTTGGTGGGGGAACGTCACGTTTCCCATAACAAAACCATCGGCATCCAAGAAACCCACGGCACCCTGGAGGCAAGCAAAGGGTTTCTTGGCATGGGACCCCACCGTAAACCTAACCCCAATGCCTGGAAACCTCTCTGGCCAGGCCCCCCCCCTTGCGTGCCGGGGGTGGGGACCCACACGAGTGCCTCAGGCCGAGGGGGAGGAAGAAGGAGGCGGAGGCGGAGGCGGAGGCGGAGGCGGAGACGGAGGAGGAGGAGGAGGAGGAGGAGACGGAGGAGGAGGAGGAGGAGGGGGGGAGGAGGGGGAAGAGGAGGAGGAGGAGGATGAGGAGGAGAATGATCTGGCTTGGCAGCTTTGGGCGGTCTCCCACTGCCAAGCTCACGTTCGACCCCGTCTAGGAAGGCAGGAGGCTCGAGGAGGAAAGGAGAGGACAGAGGATAAGGAGGAGGAGTTTTTGCACCAGCGTGATTCCTGCAGCAATCAGGTCTGAGCAAACCATGCTCGGGCCGAAATTCAAGAGTTTGACAGGTTACCCCAGCAATTCAAAATGGTGATAACGCCCTGACCCACGAGTGGGGCGAGTCAGAGTCGTTTGAAACGAGCGGGAATCGACTCCACAAATCTAGAACTTCTGACCATCCTCCTGAGCCTTAAACATGGGCTTGAATAGCGTTGAACTGATACAAAGGACAAACCAAAGCAAATGCAGACTGAGGGGAGGAGAGGACGGCCCGTACAGTTTTCTATCGTCGCCGCTGACATCTGCAGCAAGAGAGAAGGGCTCGACACGGATAGACGCCAGCTTAGGATGTTCACCTGAATCTACATGTGTCCAAGCCCACGAAGCAAATCTCACCAGCCCTCTGGGCGTAGGTGGTTTAGGGCGTTTCCTCTTCCAACCCCCTTCTTCCCCTTCGGGGAAGGGTCCACCCCTCCCCCTTACCCCCTCCCCTGGACCTGGACGGGGGTGGGGGGGCGCGAGGCGTTGAAGCGTCCAAGATGGCCCAAGACGGCTCCAAGAGGGCCCCTGCGAGTCCAAGATGAGCTCCAAAGTGGCTCAAGATAACACGGACGCCTCAAGATGGCTCCCAAGATGCTCCAAGAGGCCACAATAACGTTTCAAGACGGCTCCAGGAGGCGTCCGAGATCTCTAGGGAGGCCCCCAAGAAGCCAACATCGGTCAAAAACCTGTAGAACATCAAGGATGTTTGCTTTCTCGCCGTTTCGCTTCCGATGGCCACCCGAGGCCTCAAGATGGCTCCAAGATAGCCCAAGAGCGCCCAATAGCGCCCCAAGAGCGCTCCAAGAGAGGTCCAGGAGGGGATTGTCGGTGCTCCCGAGGGGGGAGGCGAATTGAAGCTCCCCTCTTTTTTGAACGATGCCCTACGATATGGCTCCAAGAGCGCCCCTAAAGCTCTCAAGAGCGGCCCAGGAGGGCCCAAAGAGGCGCCCAGACAGCCCCAAGAGGCACCCAGGAGGCCTCCAAGAGACCCCATACGAGGCCTCAAGAGGATCCCCGAGGTACCCAACTCTCCCTCCTTCTCCTCCTTCTCGTCCTCCTCGTCCTCGCCCTACTCCACCTCCTCCTCTTCCTCCTCTTCCTCCTCCTCCTCCTCCGACGACGACGATTTCTCCTCCATCACCCCCCTCTTGGGGTATATGACGGCGGTTCCCGCCTTTTGGTCTTTTGCATGCTCCCCCACTTCCCTGATCACATGAACTCCCCTGGGTATCGTTTCTAGATGGGCTGGTGGAGATACGCGACGCGTCAACGATTTCGAGACTGGCTCCCCGCAACAATCCACTCCGAGGTTCCGCACTTGCCGCCCAGAATGGTACACATAAAACTGTGAACAAGCATGCAAAAAAGTCGTGCCCGTGCACATATACTCTTGCAGTGCGAGCGTGTGCTTGCAGGTTTTCCTGGACCTCTCAAGACCATCCCCAGGGTAGCCAAAGAGCGAGGGCTAACTCTCCTTTCCGCGGGATGTGGGAACGAGTCTGGCAGCGCCGAGCAATTTCGCACCAAGTCCAGGAGTGATCTGGCTCGGCCGCTTCCGGCGGCCTGCCACTGCCAAGCTCACGCTCGACCCCATCTAGATTTGAACGTGGCCACTGTGGCAAAACAGACGCAGCAATCTTTGTGACAGCTCTGGCAACTAAATCCTTGCCTGGAATGACCTTATTTCCCTGCTCAGGAGGACGGGAGTGGCTGTTGGCCCCCAGCTTCGCAACCGAATGAACTAAATTTCATTCTCGATGCGCCTGAAACGTCCAGCCACGTCGAGACATTCCCTCGAACCGTGGGCCTTGACTTTTTCAAAACATCCGAACAGGGAACACCGGAAGGACTCGGAAGCGCCCCTGCGTACCGGCGTGCTGCATTTTTGGTGCGACAGGCTCTCCTTCACCAGCAGGCGCCCGAAAAGCCTGGACTACACCTTAGCAGTGCGAGTATGCCATCGAGGGTCCAGCGAGAAGCTCCCTGGTGGCACCCCGCCCGCAAAATTCACCACCTCGGCAGGGCTGATATGGGGCCATCTGGGGACGGGCCCGCACAAGGTGCAGGTCTTGCTGCCCACATCATCGGCAACACGGGCACCCAGGCCTGCTCGGCAGAGCTCTGGAATCGGGCATCTTAGCCCTGATCCGTCGAGACAAGACATGCCCACTGATCATCGTGCTCACTGGCTCTGGGTCGCCTTACCGAATCGCCGCCATGCCTCCCTCCATCGTCGGAGGCGGAACCGTACCACCTGGGTGCTCGAAGGGGCTTTTGGTGACCATGGTCCAACCATGATCCTCGGGGGCGAGAGCGGCCGCGCGCTGGACAAGCGAGCAAGCACGAACAAGCGAACAAGCGACACTTTACAGGATCTGATCACAGCTCGCGAACATCCTGACAAGGGCGCACCCGAAACTTGCGATGCATGCTGTCAACGCCACCACAAAACGGGCACGATATATCTTCCAGAATGCAGCCAGCCGCCCTGGTTTTCGGTCCTGTCCACATCGGCCCGCAAGCAATCGATCTGATGCACCCTGCTTGAAAAAAGGTGCCCACTTCTCCGAGTTAAGCTCCTGAACAAAAATACCGAGACAGCCCCTAGATCCATCGCCGAGCCCCTGGGTCCGAGCAGAGTCCCTACAGCTAGACATCCCACCTTCTCGCGCAGACCCCCGCGCCGTCTCGACAATGGTCAGAGGAACCGCAACCTCTGACTGCCGTGCCTGGTTGGTCCAGATTTCCTCAGCCTGCCTGAACACGGGCGCGATGCTCGCACAGTCGCGCGGGCCGTGCTCCAAACGATGAGGCAAGTCACGCGCCTGGAACCGGCTACAAGCTCGACGCCCTGGACCTCGAGCTCCAGATCCGACGCGCCGGGAACCTCCGCCCAGAGCGTGCACGCTGCCCATAAGCCTCCCCGACCATCTCGCTCATTGGACGCCCGAGTTATCCGGGGTAACTCGGGCCCGGGGTATCTCGGGTTTGGATTCCCGAAACATGAACCCGAGTTAACCCTGACCCGAGTTACCCCTGATGATTCGGGGCTCTGGACGCCCGAGTTGTCCGGGGTAACTCGGGTCCGGGGTAAGTCGGGTTCGGATTCCCGGAAAACGAACCCGAGTTAGCCCTGACCCGAGTTACCCCTGATGATTCGGGGCTCTGGACGCCCGAGTTATCCGGGGTAACTCGGGCCCGGGATAACTCGGGTTCCGATTCCCGAAAGACGAACCGACCCGAATTACCCCTGATGATTCGGGGCTCTGATCACCCGCACTCCTGCCATACGCCGCAGCGCGCGGGCGAACACAAGAGACGGCCAGCCAGTCCTCGCCGCTCCGCGGGAGCGGCGGCACGGCACGTCGGCGGTCGCGTCGTCTACAGCATGCGGAGGGAGAGGGGGAGAAGGAGGAGGAGGAGGAGGAGGAGGAAGAGGAAGAAGGAGGACAACCAAGAGGAGGAAGGAGGAGGAGGAGGATAAGGAGGAGGAGGAAGAGGAGGAGGAAGGAGGACAACCAAGAGGAGGAAGGAGGAGGAGGAGGAGGAGGAGGAAGGAGGAAGGAGGAGGAGGGAGGAGGAGGAGGAAGGAGGAGGAGGAGGAGGAGGAGCAGGAGGAAGGGAGGGAGGACAACAAAACAACGTCTGCCTTCCCTGCCAGCGCCCCCCCCCTGCCTCTCTTGCGGCTCCGACGGGCCCGTGCCGGCCGCGCCGTCGGCGGCGCGGCTCGCGGCTCGCTGGGCAGGCCGGGCGCCGGCACGCTGCTGCCAAGGAAGGAAGAAGGAGAAGGCTCTGCCTGGCATTAAGTCGGGCCTGTCCCCCTACAGGGGGATGTTCGGCGAAAAACAAAAAATACCCCCAAAATAGTCCCAAAATAGTCTGGGGACTATTTTTGGAATATGTTTTGACCTCTTTGGGTGTTTGTTTGGGGTATTTCAGAATTTTCGTCGAAAATCCCCCTGTAAGGGGACAGGCCCGACTTAATGCCAGGCCTCTTGCTCGAGGCAGGTGCTGCAACCTTCGCCTTCGAAGCGCTGCAGCGCGCGCCCCGCTGAAGGGCCTGCAGAACCAGCACGGGCAGTGCCCGAAGCTCCCGCCCGACAGCGTGTTCCCTCCCGGCCGCCGACAAAGCACAGCCCCCCGTGTGAACGTCCAGGGGCACCGACCTCAGAACGTTTGGATCGGCTTGTTGCCATAGGAAGCAAAAGCAGTCCGAAATGGAATGTTGCACGTTCCAGCATCGAGCTCCGCACGCAAAGAAATCCACGCTGGCCCAGAGAACGGACTGATTGCTGCTGCTGTCACACCGGTTAGCTGCGAACGTGAAGTTGATGTTAATCTACTTGCTGGAATCGAACCGCACCTGTTTATCAAGCTTCCTGGTCTTCTCGCGCAGCTGGGCCACCTCGTTGGCCCCCTTACGGTCGTTGCCTCCCAGGGGAGGGATGACTGGGTCCACAATCTGGGACTGCCTCCACGAAAAGGATGGTTCAGCCCGCGCGACGTTGCCCCGGAATCACGAGCTCTTGTGACACTTACATGATAAGTCTGCAGAGAAAAGGCGGCCCCCCGCATCGACCTAAGCATTTCCTGGCTCGTCATGCTCGCATGCCTTGCAAGGCCACCGAGGTTGATTGAAGACCCAACTGAATCAGGTGAAGGCGCCATCCTCTGAAGATTACAATTTCCTGGAAAGGTCGTCGTGATGTTTGGCTCGTGGGCACGGGCCGCGCTGAAAACTTTCCCACAAGTTCACTCCCAGTGAAGCAGAATGGCTCGAGCGGGTGGAGCAGGGAGGAGGAGCTGGAGGAAAAAGAGGAGGAAGAGGAGTAGAATAGGAGGGATGACGAGGAACAAAAACGAGGGTAGGCGGGAAGATGTGGAGGAGGAGGAGGAGGAGGATGAGGACGAGGACGAGGAGGAGGACGAGAAGGAGGAGGAGGAGGAGGAGGAGGAGGAGGAGAGGGAGGGAGATACAGAGGCCAACAGCGTCAGTGGGAGGAGGGGGCGGGAGGAGGAGGGGAAGGAGAAGGAGGAGGACGAGGAGGAGGAGGAGGAGAGGAGGAGGAGGAGGAGGAGGAGGAGGGAGTGAGGCGGATGGGAGGAGGGGGAAGCATGCAGAAAGGAAGAAGAAGGGACGAGGAGGAGGAGGAGGACGACGACGACGACGAGGAGGAGAGGGAGGAGGGGAGGAAGCGGGCCCGACCTTGCCGATCGAGCATCCCTCCCCCCCGGGGGGGGGGGGGGAGGGCGGCGCGCGGTCTCCTGCAGCTCGAGGCGCAGGCTCCTGCCCAGCAGCTCCGCCATCTCGGCCACGTGGGCGCTGCGCGCGGGCACCGCCAGGGGCTCCTGGTCCGCCCCGCCGCAGCCCCGCAGGGGGGGGGGGGGGGGTCGAAGCTCGAGGGGGCGAGTGGGGGAGGGTCGTGAAGAGGGGGGAGGTGAGGGAGGCGGGAGGAGGGGGGAAAGGGCAGGAGAGGCTCGAGGATCGACGAGGGGGCAGTGGAGGAGGAGGGAGGAGGGAGAGGGGGAGGAGGAGGAGGAGGAGGAGGAGGAGGAGGAGGAGGAGAGGAGGAGGAGGAGGAGGAGGAGGAGGCGCAGGAGGAGGAGGAGGAGGAGGAGGAGGAGGAGGAAGAGGAAGAGGAGGAAGAGGAAGTGGAGGAGAAGGAGGAGGAGGAAGAGGAAGAGGAGGAGGAGGATGAGGAGGCGAGAGGGGGCAAGAGGAGGAGGAGCAGGAAGCGAGGGGAGGAACGCGGGGAAGGCGGAGGAGGACGAAGAGGAGGGCGAGGGCGAGCGACATGAGAGGGGGAGCGAAGACGAGGAGAAGGAGACAGGAAGGAGGGGGAGGAGAGAGGAGGGGGTTGGAGGTGGGGGGAGGCACACGGCATATTGTCCCTCGAAGGTCCGTCCTCGGTGACGAGCGCGTCCTCGAATTCGTCGACCAGCACGCCGAGCACCTTTGGGGGCCGCCCAGACGATGCCATCTGGGGACGCTTGCTTTGACCTCTCTGTTCGCCTGGGAGGCCTCCAGAAGCCTCGAGGGAGGCCATGCCTCTGGGGGCCACCCAGCGTGGATGGAACCGGAGGATCGCACCGTCTCGAAGATGCATCGGCGACGTCGGGGTGAGACAATCAGGCCCCTGGTCACGCCGCATCAGCGATGCATCGGCGATGCGTCGCGATCCTCTGTCCCCATCTGTTTCGAATCAAAGTTTGCAACCTCTGTAACGAGCGAAACCCCTTGGGTGGCCCCAGTGGCACCTAGATGCACGATGAGCGCCGGAGGAACGCAAGAAATGTTGAACACCGAGCCCCTGCCGAAACAGAAACGAACCTGATCCCCAAACCTGTGGCTGCAATCGGCCCCATCTGGCTGACTCTGGAACCCCTGGAGCCAAAAATGTTGGCGTATCGCGACCACTTGCGCTGCCTCCCGCCGAGCTCCCGCAGGCGGACACCAGAGACCTCCTAGATGGGCTCCGAGCTCATGGGGTCGGGGGATCGCGCCGCATCGCCACTGAATCGGCGATGCATCGGCGATGCATCGCCGACGTCGGCGACGCATCGGCGACGTCGGCGCGGAGAAAACTGGGCTCCGCATCGAGCCGCGTCGTTGATGCATCGGCGATGCGGCGCGAGCCTCCGACCCCATCTGCTCCGACCGCCATCATTGGGAGGCCCAAAGGCACGCCCCCATCTTACTTCCGGCCGGCTTCCGGCGGTCTTCTGGCGGCTCCCGATGAAACTGGGCTTACAAGAAGAGGGTCCTGTGGGAAACGGGGTCTGGACCCTGGGGGCCTTGCCCCAGAACCAGATCTCCACCACGAGTCGCTCTCTGAGGGTCATGCCCCTCGGATCCGAACGCGGCGGAAAACCTTAGGACCTGCTTCCCGTTGCCCTTAGGACCACTCTCTCGCTCATGGCGATGAGGGCAAGACGCCCCGAAGGCGAGGCACTTGCTGGAACGCCCCCTTCGAGGCAGCACGGCACCTTCCTGGCGGGGCGGTGGCCCTTGGCGCCCAGCATTTCCGCGATGCTCGCCACCACGCGTCGCCTCCTGCGGGCGTTTGCGCCGGCCCCTGCTGGCCGAGGTCAGGTCAGATGTCATGTGTGTGTATATGTATATGTGTGTATGCATGTGTATATATATGTGTGTATACATACACACATACTTGAAGTCTGCATTTGAACACACATGTATTCATACGTACCTTGCGATGTGCAATTCGCCAGTCCAACGGGCCAGGCTTGCTGAGCTCTGCGGAAACAGCTTCAACATGTTTCTACTTCGCGCGCGCGGGGCGGCCCCTGAGGGTGCCCGGACGAATAATACCACGCCGGACTCCCGGCAGACTCTGGGTCACAGATGCCGGAACTCCCGGGCCGCGGCTCTATAGGCTCCCAGATCGCTCCAAGAGCGCACCAAGGCGGTCCAAGAGGGCTCCGAATCGCCCAAAGATCGCTCCAAGATGTCCCAATGACCTCCAGACGGTCCAAGAGGCTTCCAAGACGCTCTGAGAAGCCTCCAAGACGCCTCCGAAGAGAGAGGCCCAAGCGGCATGAAGCGCCCCATTCCCTGCGAGAAACGTATGTTTTAGCAGATTCGCCTCCTTGTTGTCCGCAACGTCCAAGACGGCCTAAGAAACCCCCAAGATCGCCCCAAGACAGCCGAAGAGGAGGGCGGCCTTGCAATGATGCAGGGGGGGTTCTCACCCTGACCTTCTAGAGAGCTATTTTTTAGCACTGGAGGCCTAAGAACCTAAACAACTGAGCGAAGCAGCCTAAAACCAAGACGTAGAATACAGGCCTCGGAACAAAAATAGCGAACACTCATGCCACATTCATCTGTGAACGCCTCCCCCTCCCCCCAATGTTCAAAGTTGGCGGTGGGTCTGATGAGTTGCACCTCGACCGCAGTCTCCCCCGCGCGTGCCAACCTTGAGCTTGGGGGGCAGGGGGGGTGTTCACTAATTGTTTCCCTCTACCGTAGCTTTGGGATAGGTTCTTAAGTCGGGTGCTATTTTTTAGCCCTCCTGCGAAGGTCAGGGCAGTTGGGCGTGGCTTAATGGGGGGGTCACAAATGGAGGGGTCAGAAACGGTTCCCTTTCGTGCCCCTTTCGGGCCCCTCCGGAGCCCCAGGGGGCTCGTTTAGGTACCGTTTGGGTACCTTTTCGCACCACTCTCGCCACCCCCCCATGTATGACCCCCCTATTACGCAACGCCCAAGGCAGAAGGGATCGGAGGCCTCCGGGAAGGCAGGAGGGCTCCCGAGAGGCCCTCCCGGCCTCAGAGGGCCGACCACGACCAGGACGTGCCAGCCTTCAGTCGGGCCTCTCCCCCTACAGGGGGATTTTCGACGAAAAATAAGAAATACCCAAAAAACAACAAAAAATATCCCCAGAAATACGAAAATACCAGACATACCAGAAAAATACCAGAAAATCCCCAAAAAATAACAAAAGAAATACCAGAAATACCAAAAATAAGAAATACCAAAAAAATACCAGAAATAGTCCGGGGTCTATTTTTTGAATACTTGTTTGACCTTTTTGGGGAATTTTTGTTTTTTTGTTCTTTCTTCGTCGAAAATCCCCCTGCAGGGGGACACGCCCGACATGATGCCAGCCCCACGACTTTGAGAGCGAGGAGGCGGGGAGGCGCAGTGGCCTCCCTTGGTGCGCGGCTTGCCGATCGCTGTGCTCCCCGGAGGTCCATGTCGACTCGTTCTTGCTCGCGCTGCACGGTCTCGCCCACCCTCGGGCCCCGGGAGAGCCTCGCGGGTGCCCCCTCCTCCTCCTCCTCCTCCTCCTCCTCCTCCTCCCTCCTCCTCCACCTCCTCCTCCTCCTCCGCCTCCTCCTCCTCCTTTTCCTCCTCCTCCTCCTCCTCCTCCTCCTCCTCCTCCTCCCTCCTCCTCCGTCTTTCCCGGCTCGAGACATGGCGCAGAAGGATGGGGTCCGGGGCTCCAATCGTGATTCTCTGCAGTGTATCGGTGTCCGAGGAGTGGGGCGAGACCCCGGGGTCGAGAGGCCCATATGGCCGGCGCACGTCCGGGGGGGAGGGCGAGCCCGGACTCCGGATCCGCCCCACTTTGGGGAAATTCGTAAGTGGGGCTTGGAATTTCCGCCCTACTTTTCAGGCCCCGCTGATGCCAATCTCCGCCCTACTTTTCTGTCGCTGTTTCCGCCCTACTTCTGTGGATTTCCGCCCTACTTTACGCTGGGTGCAGAATTTTCCGCCCTACTTTTTCCTGCCTCTTATAGGTGGAGTTCCGACGCAACTTTGAGTTGGAAAACGAGCCAAAGTAGGGCGGATCTGGAGTCAGGGAGGGGCTCGTTCTGCCGGGAAAAAGGGCCGGCTCCCCGGCTGGGGGCGCGAAGAATACAGAGCCCTGTATAGGCGCTGCCACGCTGGTGCCGCGCCAGCGGTGCTGCCTAAGGGGAAGAGGAGGGGATGAAGCAGGCAGAGGACGACGAACGCGCAGGCGGAAGGCCAGGGCCGGCGGGGCGGGCGGGCATGCAGGCGGACGAGGGGCCGGGCGGAGACAGCAGGCAGGGAGCAGGGAGCAGGGATGGTTCTCAGGGTGGACTTCTGGATCCTCATGGGCTTCTGATTATGGGCGCAAAGGGCTAGTTCTCGAGGAGGAGGGGGAGAGAGGAGGCCAGAGCAGGACAGCCGCCGGCACCGCTCCAGGCGCATGCGGGGAGCGCCTCCCCTTGGCGTCTGGGTCATGTTCGGGCCTCCACTCCCGTCCGAAAAACCCTGGAGCTGTCTTCTATCATGGAGACCTCCAGACATCGTGGGAGTCCCCCCAGCCCCGAGACCTCCAGAGAAGAGGAGGGCTATATTTTGCTCGGCTTGGGGGGGACGGAGAGATGGAGGGAGGAGAATGACAACGACAGGGCCTCAGGCGAGATCGGGGGCGAAAAGCGAAGTGGATGTTGGTTCCGCCTGGAGACAAAAAGTAAACAGACCAACTGCATCCTCGAAGGGCTGTCGGAGGGTCCGCCTTCAAGAACTGGATGTGGGTACAACTCTGGCGAGAGGGGCGTGGATGTGGAAGATGAGGGGGGGGGGCACGTGTGAGGACGTGAGCCGACTTGCTTTCGATCTGAGAGGCCCCCCAGCATTGCTGGAAGTCCATCCCCCCCGCCACGCCTCCCGAGGGCCGCCACTATCACTCCGCCGCGTCCTCTTTCTATCGGAGGAGGGCCCAGTTGAGACAACGGCGGGCATCACGGCTGGCCCAAATCCGTTCACAGTCGGTGTTCGGACCCCCCCTCCTGGTGTCCGCCCTGCCACTTTTGTCGAGGCGGTCGAGCCGTGGCGACGGGAAGCCTTCCGGAGGTCCGAACGGGAGGTTGCATGCCAGGGAGGGAAGCCGCCATCTCGGCTGGCCCGCCTCCTTCTCTGCTCCCCCTATCTCCCTTCTCCGGCTCCCCCCGAGCAGGCGGCTGCTCTGGAGCGCTCTGAAGCCCTGTTTTGTTTGAGTGCATGCAGGCCCGCCGACCTTCGAGCAAGATCCGTGGATCGATCTCCAGCACAGCTGCTCGAAGACTGGCCAGAACCGCAGGTCGCCCGAATGAGCGGAAGGAGGGCAGAGCAGAGAGAGTGAAGTATCCTGTGCTCCCAGTACTCAAGCTCGGCGCTGCTGCGTCGCCGTCCAGCCCTTGCTAGCCTGGGCGCAAGTGGAGTGGGTGTCCGTGAGAGAGAGAGAGAGAGAGAGAGAGAGATATAGAGAGAGAGAGAAACAAACAAAAAAAAGAGAAATCACAACAAACAGAAAGCGTAGAGAGATGCACATGTGAGTACATAAATGTGTATATATATAGAGAGAGAGAGAGAGAGAGAGAGAGACAGAGTGAGAGAGTTACAACAAAAAACGAAAGAGATAGAAAGAAACACACAGGGGGAGAGAGAAAGAGAGAACACAGAGGGACAAGCGTAGGATGGCGGCGACAAAACATTCGGATATGCAATGAGGACGGGAGGAGAGACCCAACATATTCAGAAAAGCTCCAACCTATGACTCGCATGCTGCGACCTGGGCGAGCAAAGCAGCACACGGTGATGACTAACAAATCCTGTGACTCACGTGACAAGAGGGGGGGCATGAAAAGGTTTGGGGAGGGGCGAGGGAACGAACAGAAGGGAGGGAAGATGAGAGCAGAAGGAAGGAGCTTCCGTTGGGGTTCTGTGGATCGGTTCCGCCCCTCGCAGGCCGATGGCCGCCCTGTTGCGTGCGACTCCGGCCCGCAGGTCCTGGCCATCGCAACGCCGGCAGGGGGCTTTTGTCCCTCAGGGCTTGGCAAGGACGGCAGGGGGTGTTTGTCCCTCAGGGCTTGGCCCTGGCAGCGCGGCGGAGGAGGGGGGGCGGCGATAGAGCCGTACCCCTCAGGGCGTGGCTAGCGGAGGGCAGCCGTACCCTGCCCGGCGTGAAGGACGGACGGAGAAGAGCGGATGGACTAAGGAGGGGAAGAGGGGGAGGAGCGAACGGAGGACAGAGAGGCAGAGGAGGAGAGGAGCGGCGGGCAGAAGGGCGGGAAGGGCAGACTCACCCTCCTGGTGCCTGGTTCCTCATGGCATGCGGGTTCGTCGAAGGCTGCCACGTCTCTCCCTCCTCCTCCTCCTCCTCCTCCTCCTCCTCCTCCTCCTCCTCCTCCTCCTCCTCCTCCCCAGGAGGTCTCCAGAGGTCTCCAGAGGGCCTCAGGAAGCCCTCAGAAAACAGAGACACTGAAATGATCGAATCTGACCCTCGATTCGGGCGTTAGCAGGACTGGGTTTAGTGGGACCTGGAGCAGTGGTGCGCACTGGGGGACGACACCCGCCCCACTCCACTAACCGAAACTGCCGTCACCCGAAGAAACACCAGTTACGGCAAACTCGCTTTAGTGATTCTGCCATACTTTTTGTTCGGGGTCCAATCACTGACCGGCTCCCCTTACCTGGGGTCCTGGCGATATCTATCGATACGTCCTCCCTCTGCTCCTGTTCTCCTCCTTTGCTCCTCCTCCTCCTCCTCCTCCTCCTTCTCGGGCGCGTGCTGGAGGAGGAGGAGGAGCTGGGATCACGAGGGACGACGACGACGACGCCGACGCCGACGCCGACGACCACGACGAGCAGGAGGGAGGCCTTCTTCCAGGCAAGGCGGGAGCGTCCTGTCGGGCCCCCCAGGCAACACGGGCCGCGCGTCCCGCCCTCGCGGGAGCGGCGCCCAGGAGCTCGCGGCTGCCGGCCGCGACGGCGACGTCGACGCGGCCGCCGCCGGAGAGCCCGCCCCGGGCGGGCAAAAAATCCGGGCCGTGCGCGCGAGCGGCCCCATGCACGATGGGCCTGTTTTCCACCACCGCCACCACGAGTTGGAGGGGGAGGGGGCCCTCCTCGTCGTCCTCCTCCTCCTCCTCCTCCTCGTCTCCTCCTCCTCCTCCTCCTCCTCCTCCTCCTTCCCCCCTCCAACTTTATGGTGGTGGTGGTGGTGGAAGACAGGCCCATCAATTCAAAGTGGAGGGATCGGGGGCCGACCGGCAAGGGGTGCGGAGGAGCAGCACACGGCAGGAGCAGGCGAGGGGCCTCCCGTCGTGGCGGCGTGGGCATCGCCTTTGTCGACACCGCGGGGATCGCGCAGCCCTGAGCACGATCGCGGCGACAGCGCAGACCGTTCGAGATCGGCCAGCTTTCGGGACCACTGGCCAGGGGCACGAGCAAGGACATAGAAACACCAACGACAACTCGGAGGTCCGCGCGGACTTCTCGGATCGGCGCTCTGGAGCCCTCTGGCGGCGCCTCTCGGGCGCCGCCCCCGGGCGCGCTCCGCGCGCCAAGGAGGGGGGGGGACGATCCGAGAAACACCCAACGACAACTCGGAGGTCCGCGCGGACTTCTCGGATCGGCGCTCTGGAGCCCTCTGGCGGCGCCTCTCGGGCGCCGCCCCCGGGCGCGCTCCGCGCGCCAAGGAGGGGGGGGGCCAGCGCCGATCCGAGAAATCCGCGCGGACCTCAGGAGTGTTGTGGTGTTCATGTCGTTGTGTGTTTCCCTGCTGTGCGAGGCGGGGATTTTTATCTACACCCACCGCCTGGGAAGCGACGTCCTGGTGCCCCGGCGGGCGGTGGATATGGATATATTCTGGCCCCCGGGGGCTCGAATGTATCCATATCCACCGCCTGCGGAGATCCGCGAGGATCGACCCCCCAGGCGGTCGGTGATTATGGATAACTGCCCACCTCGGATACTGGGTAGCGGTCAACACTGAACGCCTGCTCTGGGGCCGCCGCCGCCGCGTCGACGCGGCGCGAGCATGTGATTACACCTCCGGAGGTCCGTGCGGACCTCTCTTGGGTCGGCGCTGAGCACCCGGTTATGCACGCACCACGGCTGCGGGGGAAAGGGCCTCGCGCCGACCCGTGACATCCGCGCCGGCCGTTAAGTCGGGCCTGTCCCCCAACAGGGGGATTTTGGATGGAAAAAATAATTCTATTCTACAATACCCCTGAGTGGTCAAGAAATAATCAAAATTATCCCGGCAAAGCAACCTAACAGCGATGTGTAGGAGCATATCTGGAAGCATTCCCCTTAAGATTCGGATGAGAATCCAGTTGTAGAATTCTGCTGTTCTCGCAGTCGTAGTCGCATTCGCGATGACAGTCGCAGTGGCAACGGCAGTCGCAGTCACAGCCTCAGCCTCAGCCTGCCTCAGCCTCAGCCTCAGCCTGCCTCAGCCTCAGCCTGCCTCAGCCTCAGCCTCAGCCTGCTTCAGCCTCAGCCTCAGTCTGCCTTCAGCCTCGGCCTCAGCCTCAGCCTGCCTCAGCCTCAGCCTGCATCAGCCTCAGCCTCAGCCTCAGCCTGCCTCAGCATCAGCCTGCCTCAGCCTCAGCCTCAGCCTGCCTCAGCCTCAGCCTCAGCCTGCTTCAGCCTCAGCCTCAGTCTGCCTTCAGCCTCGGCCTCAGCCTCAGCCTGCCTCAGCCTCAGCCTGCCTCAGCCTCAGCCTCAGCCTCAGCCTGCCTCAGCATCAGCCAGCCTCAGCCTCAGCCTCAGCCTCAGCCTGCCTCAGCCTCAGCCTGCTTCAGCCTCAGCCTCAGTCTGCCTTCAACCTCGGCCTCCGCCTCAGCCTGCCTCAGCCTCAGCCTGCATCAGCCTCAGCCTCAGCCTCAGCCTGCCTCAGCCTCAGCCTGCCTCAGCATCAGCCTGCCTCAGCCTCAGCCTCAGCCTGCCTCAGCCTCAGCCTCAGCCTCAGCCTGCTTCAGCCAAAGCCTCAGTCTGCCTTCAGCCTTGGCCTCAGCCTCAGCCTGCCTCAGCCTCAGCCTGCATCAGCCTCAGCCTCAGCCTCAGCCTGCCTCAGCATCAGCCTGCCTCAGCCTCAGCCTCAGCCTGCCTCAGCCTCAGCCTCAGCCTGCCTCAGCCTCAGCCTCAGCCTGCCTCAGCCTCAGCCTGCCTCAGCCTCAGCCTCAGCCTGTGCCTCAGCATTCAAAATGTGGCCCGGGAATGGAATTCTGGGAACTCGAAGAACACGAAGTGGCCTATAGTTGGCTCCGGGCATTCAAAATCATGCCCAGGAATGGAATTCTGGGAAGTCGAAGAGCACGAAGTGGCCTACAGTTGGCTCCGGGCATTCAAAATGTGGCCCGGGAATAAAGTTCTGGGAACTCGAAGAACACGAAGTGGCCTACAGTTGGCTCCGGGCATCCAAAATGTGGCCCGGGAATGGAGTTTTGGGAAGTCGAAGAGCACGAAGTGGCCTACAGTTTGCTCCGGGCATCCAAAATGTGGCCCGGGAGTGGCGTTCTGGGAAGTCGAAGAGCACAAAGTGGCCTACAGTTGGCTCCGGTGATTCAAAATGTGGCCCGGGAGTGGAGTTCTGGGAGGTCGAAGAGCACGAAATGTGCGACTGTTGGCTTAAAACAAGCCCGGCTCTGTTCCCGGCCCTCCTCCCCGGCACCCGCCCAGACCCCCCTGTGGAGTCCAGATGCTTTCTTTTGACACCACTAGAAACCTATCAGCAAAAGCTGTCAGGCAAATTCGTCTCCAGACCATTTTCGGACTACTCTTGGATATTCCCCCTGCAGAGGGACAAGCCCGACTCAAGCCGACCGCCGAAAACGTCTGTCACTATGTGTGTCTGTGCCGTCTCTCTTTGTCCCCAAACAGCGAGTGCTGTAAGGGGCCGCAGCTTTTTCTGCAGGAAGAGACGCTGCGATCTACAAGAGCGCCTTTAGATAGATGGCCACGTGCCGGCACCGGGCTCGGGTGCCGTGCGAGCGCGCCGCGCCTGTCCAGAGGTCGCGCGCCGCGCCGCGCTGCGCCGAGGCCCTGCGGCGCGAGGCCGCGGCCCCACGCCGTGCCGCGCCTGCGGGCTCGAGAGCGCCGCCACACGGCCGGCGGCGCGCCGTGCCAGGCCGCGCCGCGGCCGCGAGCCGCGCCGCGCTCGGGCGCCGAGAGAGGAGGGGCCGCCCGCCGTGCCGCGCCGCGCCGCCGCGCGCCGAGCCGCGCCGTCGTGGCCGGGGCGCGCCCGGGGTGCAGGAGGCCGCGGCGCGCGTGCCGCCCGCGCGCCGTGGCGCGGCGGCGAGCCGTGCCGTGGCGAGCCCGGCTGCCTCGGAGAGGCGTGGTCGCCACGCCGCCACGCAGGCCCGCGCCGACCCACAGCGCGCTGGGAAGGTCCACGCCAGTGCCGCCCGCCCTGTTGGAGC